TTTCCATTGACCCTGAAATATTAGCAGCCGCTCCGTAGTCGTCCTACCCAACGCTGCGAAATTAAGGGCTTTTTCGGGGTCGGAATGAGTCCCGCTTTTTTTTTTAACTGTGTTCATCATTCTAACACCCACTTATAGCTTGCTGAGCTCTCAACGTAGGGGCTGGGTATACCCGCGGTTAGCTTGCCAGGTTCTCCCAGAGTGAACATGGAGCTTGTTTGTTGGAGGCGACTCCTGACCGCCTCCCATATACTTCCCAGTCAATTGATTGCAGGCTTTTGGTCGAACTGGCTCGTGTAATACAATCCGCATAAGCAAGAACGTACCCACACACGCATGCATGAATACATTTAGCAAATACAGAAAGTATGTGACAAATCAGCGCAGCAGAAACAGGGAGTCCATCCCCTGGATCCACCTACGTCTCGGGGAAGCAAAAGACGCTTTTGGTCCGCTATTAACCTCTCTCCGCCACCTGGGGACGCGCCACGTAGCCTCGCGACTAACCGGCTCGAGTTCCACATATGAGGGAGATCTGTGGTGGCCTCGATAGTAAAACAATTAACATGTTCTTGAATTGTTGAGCTTACATGGGGTTTAAAAATTGTTTTGCTATTTGCTGTGTGCTAACTAACACAATGCCGACTGCTGCTGGGTGGATTATCCGTTGAAAAGCAAATTATTATCAACGGGTAATTATATCAGCAACAATTGCGCTGTATATAATTGCCCTGCCGGTGTCTTTGGTTCATTCATGCGGTGTTCGCTTAAGAAGAACCCGTTTCGGTACGTCACCGAAGACGCCACATCGAGATAACAAACAACTGCGATCACCGAATCAGTATATCGGCTTTAATGAAGACGAAAACGTTGTAACGTTAGTCCGAAATAAATCTATTTGTCAACCTCGTGCAGGTTCAACAATTTAATTAGATGTTGATTATTTTACCACCAAGGTTAAATTACGGTCGGTTTGAAAATGTTTTGCTATTCGCTTTGTGCTAGACTAGATTCAGTTTAAAAATTCGCAAATTCGCTATAATGCAAATTTATTCGGGCCTTTATTTGAGGAAGCGAATTGTTTTTTCCTTCACGTTTCCGGCGTTATGCCATGAATTCCTTAATCGCTTCGCAGTCCCTGCACTTTATGTCACTGAGTGACAGTATTTTAGAAAGTAGTAAAAAGTAATCAAGCGCACATATTCTCAGGTTAGCACGTTTAGTTACAATTTGAGAAAGTTCACTCAGGTCGTTCAACCAGATCATTTTCTTTTACAATCACGGTTGAAAATAGAAATTTCTCTACTGTAATTTCAAAGTATTTTTTTGCTTCAGTAACTTTTTTTTCCAGATTCCTTTTGTAGCTTACGGTCTGAGTAAAGCTGATGATGTTTCTGAATGTCAAACCGCGATTTCCTATATGGGCTTGTTCAATTGGCTTAGAAAATCAAGCTGTTAAAGATTCCGACTTTTCTATCTCAGAGCTCATACCAATGTTTGCAAGTGTCACCGTCTTGGAAGGAATCTAATTCCAAGATGAGGAATTTCTGTCGGATCCACGAAAATGACCTGTGCGAGTGCCAGTGAGCCACCATTCTAACATCACGGGGATTAGAATACGCCCAACATGCGGTAGATAATACTCAGTACTAAGTCACAGACAATACTGAGTCATCAACCCTATGCGGCTATAATCAGCTGTTCCTCTCGTTCTCATTGGAAGAACACACGTGAAAAAACGCTGTGAAGAAAGCGATACTGCCGGAACGTCAGCTACTGTTCTATTGTTTTCTGTACAGAAGTGAATGTATGCCGTGTAACAACCTCGCGATTGTTTAACAAAGACGCATTTATAATCCAATGTCGAGGTTAGCAGAAAGTCGATCCTGGGAACTGTTACAGTACTGAATATTCCATGCGTTGCGATACTTCGTCTAAGGCATCAAGTGATTAGACCGACGGGATTATTCGTCGAGTTGTTAAGAACATCATTGGAACTGGGCTCCGCTGCTCTAAACCACTGCACTAGCACATATTCTATGATACCGAGCTTCATGGTAATCTCTGAAAAGCATTTAGTCGTCCAGCAGTAGTGTTTCGATAGGAAAGACGTTTAAGTGACTGCGTTACCATTTCCTCCGGTGAGAATATGGAAATGCCGATTGCGTGGGCGCGACCATACCACCTTTTATTGTCCAATTTTTCAATCAGGATCCTATTACTGTTTGGCCTTTCTTGGCTCACAAACTAAACGTGATGCCTCCTTTCCACTACTTCTGGACCACTTTTCTACCCGTGGTCTGATTACCACTTTCTTCAATCGAGGATTCGATTTGGTCAGAAAACAACTTCCCTCCTCATGCAGGAGAAGATAAGTTGCTTGCCTATAGTGGGAACACTGAATGAAAACTTGACCCGCGTCACTAGTAAGTCGAGGAAGGTCCAACCGAGGGCTATGAATTGCATGTGAAAGGGCAGAAGTATTGTGCTGTATGCTGCTCGGTTCTTTAATGAGTAAAGCAGATTATGTGATCGTGGTCTAGACTTTCTTTGAAAAGAATAGTAAACAAGCTAGATACAACTGCAGCACAATGTTACTGCTCATAATAAATATCGGTTGGAGATTACTCCTTGCAAATAGGGTTGGTACAGGGAAATTTTTTAAAGGCATCTTAACTACTAACTAATTTAGGTATGCGAAATTAATTGTAGAGTTGTACTTCAGCTCTAATCTTTTTCGTTCTACAATCCATGCTAATCAAAAGCTATGTGATCGAGAGCATAAAGGGAAGCAAAACTTCAAGCTCAAAGAAAATTGCTGCTAACTTTCTTCGACCGGAAAACCATGAACTACATGCACTTACTGCAACACACATAACAACAATTTTTAAAGAGCCAATTATCCCAAGCAAGCGGACTTGATTTGGCACTCAATTATCCTTCATTCTGCCCAAGAAAGAGAGCAGAAGAGGTCTTCTTCCCAGCGATGTGTTTCTTGTCAAAGAATGGACTCACCCGCATAGGAATTCCATCCGTTTGCTATCGTATTGGTAGGAAATTTCTGTTAAACCTTCGTTTTGAATGATGCGGTGTTTTTTGTTATGACGGCCACCTGCAAGATGAAGGAATGTGTTTGTGGTTCACGTCAACCAGCTGTATTATTAGCAGATGGAAACGATTTATGAATCACGGAATGATAGGCGCAGATTGAGGGATGGCGCGCAGTTTACTGCAATACACCAAGTTTACACCCTTTATCAAGTGAAGAATAGAAGATGATCGTATGTTGTATATTTGCTCCTACTAATTATTTCTTTCGGAAAACTAATTTTTTCAATATATCTTAGTGGTAGTGTTATTCTGAGCAATAATATCTTTGTCATAAATATTTGTGAGGTTGTCCTTATGGCAACCAATCTAATGTGTTTTATGAGTTCAGAGATTTAGGTTTTATATAATGTAACTTCTGTCCCACAAAACATTCACTAGAACCGTAAATTTATTCTGGATTGACAATCAAAGAAGATCTTGATGTTACTGCCTATGCGACAATGCCGATTATTTAGTGCACATAAATGGATGCTCTTAAAGAGGAGCGAATGCTTCCGACATTGCATGGAGAGAATCACTGATTGATGATGGTCACGCTTTTTTATGAACATTCAGTACACGAAAGATATGACATATTCCGTCTCTGTCGAATAGACAGAAGCCGTTGAGCAATTCCGGTCCTCGACGGTAATACCATTGACTTTGGCAACCCGTTTATTTATGTATAATCTTACGTGTTAGTTCACATGACCTGGGTAGCTTGAATGTTACTGAGTGAAAACGAAACTTGGGAACACAAAATTGTATTCGTCATTGAGATGTTGGATGCTTGAGAAGGGCAATTACAAGAACTTTATCAGTGAAATGTAATTTGCAGACTAGTTAGCGTGTTTTTTCACAGCTATTGAAGTGTTGTCCTCATGAAAGGTTGGGGTGTCATAGAGCTGACGACTTAGCGAGCAAGACATATGAAATGTAATGTGCTTTCGCGCTATCCATTAAACACTAATGAATGGTCGTTAGACTTTTTTACGACTAATTTTATTGACCGCTATTTTTTTCTTTTCTCGTTTTATCTTCACCTGTGTGCGTCTCGTCGTTCATCTCAAGCAACACATTACGGTAATTAGTCAACAGGTGGTATGCTCGGAATAAGTGTGTAAAAACTGCTTGTATTATTTTCCAAAAATTTTCTTCTTATTGATATGTGGGATCCAGCGCCAGTGGTTAGTGGAGCCGTTGATCAAGAAGCAAAAGCGCTAGTTCATCCCGCTTCTGGACGCTTCCTTCAATTCACTTGGGAGCCTTAGCCTGCCTATCTCCAAGACTGCAAGGAGAATCGACTCGACCAGCATTCTATAACATTCATAGAGAAGACAAAGTCTTTAGGCAGCCGATACAATATTCGATATGTTCGGAGACTATTGTGGATGTTGTATGCGAAGAAACGAATCGAGTCCAAGAAGTGCTGGGATCCGCACAGCAGGTGTGATGACGGGTCATTTATAAAATTCTACTCATTAGATCCAGATTTAAATTATTGGCTCCGAGTTCATTTCGTTTATCAAAAAAGTGAAATTGTAAGGAACTTCTCTTCAAGCTCTTCTCCTGTCACCTTGGGTTTTATTACTGTCCATAAATATATAATTTAATTAAAACGAAGCTTATTGCTTACCCTTTGCCTCATATGAACGTTGTTGTCGTATTGGTACGTTTAATTCTTTTTCAAAGAACTTCATCACTTTCTTGTTGGTGCAGTTTACTGGAAAATTGTTTAAGAAGTAAAATGCCTCAAAAGCAACTTTCTGAAGGCCTAACTAAGTATGACTATCTCAGTTTTCCTTTTTTGCTCACTTCCGTGGTATTGCTTATATGTTTGAATGTCGTCGTCTGTGTTTCGGATATACTGTGTTCAAGACAACAGTCGCAATTCTCAGTCTGTTTCAGGAATGTCTGTATTATTCCCTGATAATCCAGGAACGAGCCTTGGCGATGCGAAATTCTCGAATTTTACCCGAGAAATACCACAAGAGTCTCCGGAATGGATAATGAATATTTTTCCGAATAACTCATTTCTTGACGGCGAAACGCATACCGTTATTAAAGGATTCTGCCGTGATGCACTGTTGTACGAACTTCCTATCCTAGGGTACGTTCATCTAGTTTTTATTTTGTTCGGCATTAAACATGAGTTTTTTTGATCTGCATGTGTTTTTTCCACATTTGGTTCTAAATGTCGCTTTGAAGCAAAAATTACAGTCTTCGCTCTAATTCAATCTCATTTTTATGTTTTGCCAAGTTCACTTTTATATTTGATAGTTACAGTAAAAATAAATGAAGTGGGAAATTTATGTTTTTCATATAAATTCCGTGAAGTAGTACGGAAAATTGGCTTCAGTGTCAAAGTTACTGCTGGACGTGGAATCGCCATAGACCATATAGTAGAACACCGGTTTGTTAAGATTCTTGATGGGGGTAAGGACCTCGAAGAAGAGCAAGGTTGCGAACAACCCACTGTGTCGAGGAGGAATATTTGAAGAGGTTATTTGAAGTGTCCACTCCAAGCGGTTCGAAAACTTGGCAGAAGGACTAGGCATTTGTAGAACAACACTTTCGGGGCATTCCTACCGAGGTGTAAAGTGAAAACTCGGTAGATGGATAGCACAAGAATTAAGGGGAAGGCGATGTTAACGCAAATAAAGCACTGAAACGGTCCTAATAAAGATAAGTTTGCACTAAAAAGAGATCACGACCATCTGTAGGTGAATTCGGCTGCCGTAACTGGTTTAGTTTTGAGAAATCCGTTACAACAGAGAAGTGTCGCCAAGAAATCGGAGAAGTCCACCAGAAGTTGCCAGATTTTCGTTTCATACATCAAATGTGGTGATCTAGCAGCTGGACAAATTGGAGTACAAAATACCTCCTTTCTTAGAAGCAGTTTGTCATTTTCTGCATACACTCTGACAATATCCTTCACCAAAAAACATTCTGCACTTGAAAACCGCACTAAAGGACTTCGGCAACTTTGTTGAAGCTATTGAAATGAACTATTTTTTGTTTAAATTGTCCAGGACTACAACAAGTCGGCGGGCGTGTATTAGTTTTGTATTAGTTTATTATTATGTATTAGTTTTAGTCATAGCCCACATTTTAATCGATAATGTTTATTGTGGGAACTGGATAGCTAATTTATTAACAGGACGATAAATGTCATGATCCCTTCAAAAGTACTGGAGAATTTTCAGAACGGGAAAAGTGATAGGATTAAATACTGCTCTTCCTTTTGCATGATTTTTTAGCATAATAGTTATATAATTGATAATTCCTATTGAAAAAGCCGCCTAGTAAGCCACGTTTTCTTTTTTGGGATAAATTTTAGTGTACAACTCTTCAAATTGTTAGTAGCGAAGAATCCTTGAAAAGTAAAAAGAAATCTTTTATCAGTGTTTAAATATTTTCTACGAATAGAAGTATTACGGTAGAGGATTTAGAAGATTTACATAAGAACGACAGTCGGAATTATGTCTACGAGGAAAAATCGTTTTTGTTTAGAGGCTGTTCATCTGGATAGTAGATTTGCTTCCATCTCTGTCGAGTTGTCCTAGCTGAAGTAGAAATTTTAGTTGACAGTCTTTAATCTTTAGTTAAAAATTTAACAAATTAAATAAATAAATTTATAAATTTTAATTTGACTCTTCCATCTTAATTTACACACTTGATGAGTAGTTTTTAACTATTGAAGAATGAGAAAGCTAAGGTTTCGATATTTCCGAGATTTCAGACTTCGATATTGGGATGTTGCGATACTAATACCAAATCTGTTATTCTCTTTGTTTTTACTGTTGAAAGCCAGGCATGTTCTGAAGAAGATCACCGGCTCAAAGAGCCCAGTATTTAGGGCATTTTTCATTTTGGTGAGTATTTTACTAATTTTTTCGCTGTACCTCTCAATCTTTCAAGATTTATTGATTTCTACAGGCATTCTGCTACTAACAAGCTTTTTTAGATAATCGCTACTGCGTTTTAACTTTTATTGATTACTGATTGTGCCCATAGAGTAAAAAGATTAATGACAAAAATGTAAAGCTACGGCTTTATTTGGTCGGATGGCTAACACAGCAGTCCCGGGTAACGGTAGTCGTGGTTTCTAAGCTATCCTAGGGTTCCGAGTTTTTCTACTATCTCAGCAACTTTATTGTTGTATTTCAAATAGGACACTGCCATGAAAAAATAAGCAGTAAATAAAACTTGGGACGTTCATAGGTAATTGCATAATTAGTTTAACTGACTTAGAAAAGTTCATTTTCCGGAACCGCTTTTTTTTGATCCGCGATGTGATTCTTAATGTTTACTTCTCATTTTCTTCCTTTTCTCTGTTGTTTTAAAAAACTTCAATGTTCCTTACTTGGCAGCTCTGCTAACGTTTTTTCTTCAGGTTTATCTCACTACTTTTATGAACATAGTTCGATGTGTCGTATCAATGTCTATAAGTGCTACAAATCCTGTTGGTGAACTAGTCGATAAAGTAAGTTATCCTTTTGTGGAATTTTCATCATTCATGGCTTCAGTTCGCTCTCGTTTGTTTCTTTTTCAGATTCTTTGGATTGCTCTTAAATTCTTCTATATGACTTCTGAATTGAGTGTGTTGACGTTCGCTCTTCTATTTGGTAGGTTAAGACTGTCCTCAATAGAGGGGCTATAAGAGGGCGGAATTTTGGCGATCTGTAGAACATAACAGAATCGTCACGAATTTCAGGTCACTTGGACAGTTCGACCAGCATCAGAAGAGCTCTTATGGCAACCTTACTGATTAGTTTAATACATACTGCTATTCAGTCCGTGCTCGAATTCAAACTCGTTGATCAGGTCCGTTTAGAAAGTTGACAAAATTTAAATGAATTACGGAATGAAGCCATTCCAACTGAATTGAGGTCAAAATAGTTTGCTACTACTGCCTTTATTTACTGAGGCTTATATAGCGTAATGGTTAGAAGTGCCCTGCAAGTGCACACTGGCTCGATCGCTGGTTCGTTCCCGGATCATAAACTAACCAAAGGCCTTCATCCATCTTAGGTTGACAAATTAATACTGAATGTGTCGTTTTCTTTCTCAACAATCGCGAGGTTGTTAAACAGCGTACGCTTACTTCCATACTACAACACACATAGAACACAATCGTAGCTGACGTTTTGGCAAAATCGTCTTCTTCAGAGCCTGGAAGGGTACACTGACACGGTAATTTACTACGCCAAATGCTTCAGTAACACATGCAGAAAAACGAAAATCATACCAAATACATGGTCAACAGTTTCTCGAAAAACCCACCATTTTTACGTGCCTTCCACCGAGGAAGAAAATATCGAAATTGTCTGCAAGGATAAAACGCCGACGTGATACAAGTCGGCCTCAGCGAGTAATTGTAAAACCCAGATGTGCATTTAGTCAGCTCTACGATGTCTGATGGAGTGGAATTCATGACACATCTATCAAGGGTTTATCAACGCCAAGATTTCTACCATTTCTGTCCTATTTATTTATTACTTTGTCAATCAGATTTTTATTGTCGTGAATTTTTTTCCTTGGTTAAAAACGACTCTCAAAGTAATTGTTGTTGTTCTATCATAGAAATCTTTTGGTCTTTCCTGGTTAATAAAAATTTTAGTCTATCGCTGATGGATTTTTCGATCTTCACTCTCATGGAAGCTTATTGTTCTGGATGCTCACTGCTGCTGCTTTTGCGTTGGTAAGATAGCTTGTCATTAACTTCGTGGCTTCTTATATTACGAAGACGTTTTTTTCGATTTAAAATTTGGAATATAGAAAGGTTATAATAATAAGAATGTGCGAAATTCCATATAGTGATTGTTTGTAATGTTCTGTACCGGCTTTCCGTTTAAAAATATTCCAATTTTCAATTTAGACTTGCTTTTCTACAGTCATTTTTAGTGGTCCCTAGATTGAAAATAAAATAAGGGTCAAATTACAGGTGTACCTGTTTGTGCTTTGTCTACCGATCACTTGTGTCAGGAGATATGTGACCCTTCCGAGTAAGTTCTGGAATTTTGTAGCTAATTAATCAATAACCTTGGTGTTTCCTGCAAATCACTGATTTTTTGAAATGATTGTGAAAGTAAAAATTGTTGTTTATTTATTATTATTATTTTGTACCAAACTATTTAAAATTTTCACTTTCTTAAACTAATTTAAGAGTTGGTGTTAAAGATCCCTGTAGAAATGAAAACTATAGGCAGCCATGCCTAGAATTTCCTCTGTTTAGGTAAATGGTCATTTTATTTATACTGTGTGTTGCTCTCCTTTTTGAATGTACTGCAATCCCTCGGTGCGGTATTGCTTTTCTTCCAAGCCAGCGACGGCATGTGGTGAGATTTTTTTGTTTTCTTCTCCGAAGGCTATTCTTTTAATGTCCCAAAGGTCATCCGCATATGATCTTTAATGTATCATTTGTGAAACACTGTTATTTTCTATTATTGACCCTTGTTTATTCAGCTTTATCGATTTTTCTACATATTTGTACTTCTGCTTCTACACCCCAATTGTTTATATGACATTCCTTCGAAGATCACTGAAGTTAGTGGATCCTTTAGTTTTTTCTTCTTTGATTTTTTTATGATTGAAAAGTTATCGGGTTGCTGCAAAAATAATGGCAAATTTTGAACCGCAGCTTTGAAGCGCTAATCGAAATAAGGGTAGCGCAGTGGTTAGTGATATCGTCCATCAGAATGCAATGGCGCTAGTTCGGTCCTCTCCTCAACACTCCTCCACAGTCCACGTGGGAACACCTTAGCCCGACTATCTCCAACACTGGAAGGAGAATCTACTCGACCAGTCTGCTGCGACATTCATAAAACGAAGGCAAAATCACGAAGCAGCAAGTAACACAACACGTGAAGTGTTCCATGAGAGCTGTGGACGATGAATGCGAGGAAAACGAAGCTAATAGAAAAAGTGCTAAAATGCGCACGGTAGGCGTGAGGGCAGATCATGTAAAATAAAAAAATTCGAAATAAGAACTACAGTATATCATATTTTCGTCAACAATACAGGTTTTCTTACTCCTCCTTGGAAAAGTTCAATACTTCTGCACCTCGTGGATCATCCAGCAGTATTTCAGCTGTGTCATACCTATTGAAGATTTTTTCACCTCATTGTTAATGAGATAGTTGAAATGGTAACAGACGGTTTGCGAAAGATCATGAGAGTTCCTTGGGTTAGGGTAGAGTTTTACAGCCCATTTAGTTCACTTTCTTCGACATGAGTGTTACTTAGCGTGCTATTTTGCGTACATTGTTTTTATAAGAATTTGGCCCCTTCCGTTTACCAAAACTCGAGGATATCGTTTATTGATGCATCTTTTTGAGTTATTTGCGGTCGTTGCTCATTATTCAGTGACAGTATCGCATCTTTTCGATTAAGCATTGGCATCTTTGAATATTTTCGGCATTACCATGATTCAACCTGTACAGAACGAGGTCGCTGTTGTAGATGATTCACGTTTCATCACAATTCACCATGCGATGGAGAAATGGGTCGTTTTCCTTTGTTTGGAAAAGCTCAGGACACCATAACGGTTTTTATTCGTCGTCGTCGAGTATTTGGCAAGCATTTATCGAGCTGCTTTGTCTTACCAATCTCTTAACAGTCATACCGAATTTCTGTGAATGGTTCGCATCGTTTTTCAGTGTCTCGTATAGTTTGAGAGTCAGCGCGAGTCATTACCTTCAGAAAGTGGTCATAATCTGCTGATAGACGGTCACGAACTAATTAGTTATCAAAATTCACATGTACAACATGCTGCTGGCAGATAACCAAGGATCTCTTCGTCACCAGCGATACCTCTCTATTTCTGTCATTCTGTAATGACATCCCCACCTATTTCCACCGCCGTATGTTCAACTTTGGACTTACGAAGCGAAACGGCACTATTATTTTGTTGTTTTAAGCACATCATTTCAGTTACTTTAAGATCAAATCGTTGTGAATCGAATATTTTTTTTATTTTTATTTTATTTTATTTTATTTGGTCCGTGCTCACGTCTACCGTGCGGATCCCAGCGCTTTTCACATATGATTCGCTTCATCGCAACCACTATCCACGAATATCTTCCAACTTTCATGTGTGGATTCGGTTGCTGCTCGACGATTTCCATTTCACCTTGAATGTCGTAGAATGCTGGTCGAGCAGTTCTCTTTTTAGTCCTGAGATAGCTGGGCTGGAGCGAATTCATATTCATTTCTTTTGTTTATTCTTGAGAATCATTTTCTTTCAATTCTCATGATTTTTTATATTTAGGCATCCAAATTCAAATGCTGGTAACAGTCTTTTCTCGTACAGAAAGCAGCGTGATGAACACGGCTCAGGAGATCTTCCTGATTCCTACTATCCACGTTTTTCTGGTAAATTCCGTCGTAGATAATGTTTCTATTGACAACAATTTCAAATGAATCATTTAAACACATGTATTGGATGGTATTGAAGGCAGCAAAACTCATTTTAACTTTAGACCACTATGTGGAAAAGTTTTTTAGGCGAAGTTGGTAGCTAAGTCTGGTAAAGGTTTTGAAGGAACTTCTATAAATGCAGACTTTATGGGAAACTCAAATGTATACACATTTGGCAGTGTTTTTTCTTGTTGTTTTTTAAATTAGTTCCAACGAGAGTAAGATTTCCAGGTTTAACTTCTCCATCATATGACGATCTGTTCGACTGTTCTCCACGTTTCGGGGCAGTGTCTTTCCTTGACGCTCCGCTCATGCTCTTCGCTGGTGAGCCGGCTGAATCCACGGTGACCACCAGAACCGATTCCAACGAGTGGGAAGCCAGGTTGGCCGAATTTTTCAAACATATCACTGAATAGGTAATCAAATCAGCAGCACGGTTTCTTTCCTATCTTTTTCTTATGTGACCCGGCTACAGTGGAGACCCGAGCACTTCCCACATTCGATTCATTCTCTTGCATCCGTCATCCACGAAGATCTTCCAACTTTCACGTGTCGCTTCGGCTGCTGCTTGAGGATTTTTTTATTTCATATTGAATGTCGTAGAATGCTCGTCGAGTCCTCCGGAGTCCCTGGATACCTGGGCTGGAGCGTTCCGAACTGGATTGGAGAGTGATTTTTTTTATCCGATAAATCCAGTACCGATTTCCCGGCCCGGAAGGGACGAAAAGCTCGGTGAGGTTTGCGACGTGGGGTCGAACCAATGATCATGCATGTTTTGCAAGGCACCTTTAACCACTGCTGTATATGGAGCACATCAGGTGAGATATAAGCAGAATTCAGCATTAAACGCAGTCAAGGTGAAGCTGTTCCTGAAACCACAATGTTTTCGTTCAATGGGTCCAAGCTTTGCAAATATGTCACCATTAATATGGTTATATTTCAAAATATCTTCGCTCTAAAGCTTTATTGACTGATGTTGAACAATATTTTTCAAACCGACCTTCCTATAACCTCGGCATTAATAGTCAGTACTTTGTAACATAATTTCAAAATCTCTTGTTTCTCGAAAAAAAGAAAGATTGGTCTTCGACTAAATCTCACAAAAACGATGTTCATAAAGAACGGATTGGTTTCGTATGCCCCATTCACGCTCAACGGAAGAATATCTCCGAATGCTCCAGTTATATCTATCTAGGTGGGGAAATCAATATGATGAACGACCTAGCTCCAGAGCTGAGCAGAAGAAAACGAGCGGCTGGGGGAGCTTTCAAGAGCATCGAGGATGTAGTGAAAAGAAGAAAGAACACCCGACTCCGTGCCCACCTTTTCGACTCAACGGTATTTCCTGCTCTAACGTTTGCGTCAGAAACCTGGTCGCTGCGTAAGCAGGACGAAAGGTCACTCAGCGCTATCGAACGGGCAGT